CACACAGAGTACAGAATAATGTCACATACAATAGAGTAATTCCTTGGCTGGTTGCAGCTCAGAGCAAATCCATATAAAGATCAATTTTTGCTACTTATAGCTTTCTTTGTGTTGAACATGGGGGGAAGTGAAGGCAAGAAGCTGACAGGTTGACTGAGGCTCCGTGGCATAAAGAGTTAGAAATTTAATAATTTTAAAAAGTATCATTATAATATAAAAATAGTTCTCCATGCTGTTGAAATTTGTATATATTTTTCTTTTGTTGGTGAGCAAGAAGGCCTGATGATCAAACTTATAAAAAGCAGAATATAATGTCTTTCAAAAAATTACTATACAAATCTCCAATCTTTTCAAAATTGTCTATATTTGCAGCAAATCACCAGTATATGGTAACTTATACTTATTCTTTCTACATCATTTTAGATAATATAACAGCAGATTTATAATCATATGAAAGTTACAGGCCGGGCGCGGTGGCTCAAGCCTGTAATCCCAGCACTTTGGGAGGCCGAGGCGGGTGGATCATAAGGTCAGGAGATCGAGACCATCCTGGTCAAAATGGTGAAACCCCGTCTCTACTAAAGATACAGAAAATTAGCTGGGCATGGTGGCACATGCCTGTAATCCTGGCTACTCAGGAAGCTGAGGCAGGAGTATTCCCTGAATCCAGGAGGCAGAGGTTGCAGTGACCCGGGATTCTGCCATTGCACTCCAGCCTGGGTAATAAGAGCGAAACTGCATCTCCAAAAAAAGAAAGTTACAACAGGGTGAGGCGTGGTGACCCATGCCTGGAATCCCAGCACTTTGGGAGGCCGAGGTAGGCGGATCACTTTAGGTTAGGAGTTCGAGACCAGCCTGGTCAACATAGCAAAACCCCGTCATTACTAAAAAGTACAAAAATAAGCTGGGTGTGATGGCACATACCTGTATTCCCAGCTACTTGGGAGGCTGAGGCTTGAGAATTGCTCCAACCTGGGAAGCAGAGATTGCAGTGAGCCGAGATCATAAAAAAGAAAATGATAACAAAATAAGGGCAAGTAATTACTGGGTGGCTTCCCCTCCCTCATGGCCCTTACACAAATTACTCACATTTTACCCATAAAATGTCACTTCAATTTTGTTTAAAGATTTGGTTGATGACTTGGTATTTGTGAGATAATGCTGGATGTATTGATTATGTCTTTATTTTTTAGTTTCCTTGGGATATTGGACCTATATGACTAATTTGTCACTGGTATGTTTACTAGCATAGTCAGTCAAGCAGGAAATCATGCATGATTCTAGATTCTTTCTTGATCTGAATGAATCTTTGAGACTCTTCCTTCTTATTGATTAAAGTGATTAATTTAGAGTTTCAGTACCGTACTGACTGGGCTCACTTTATAGGGCACATCTCCATGTAAATTTGCCAACTTTTTGAGCCAGTGTTGCAGAATGAACACAAGGTATTCACTTAGGATGAACTGGCATGTATGCCTTTGGTTAGACAGAGACCAGAAGGAGAAGTATGACAACATGAGAAGAAATATATTCTCATTGCTGGGGGAAGGGGCAATCCATGTTTTTCTTATTATGGGTCAGTAAGTTCATTTTTCAAAGCATTTGGCCATTTCTTATGCTCTTGTACCAATTTATAGGAAAGCTGTATTTTAAACATTCTTCCCACAGTATGTACTACAGAGCTAAGCCTTTCATAGGTCCTTAATGAATGATCTCTGAATAAATGTGCTGCATATTGTGTTTTGAGAAAGCTATGTAAGCTTGGGACCTGGTGTTGCGCTCAGAAAGTGTTGACACAGATAAAACTGACCCCATGCATTCGTAATGTTTCCTACAGCCTGCTGAGAAACCAATAAAATAATTTTCTCTTACCTGAAAAAGAAAAAGAATTGGACACAACTGAACAAATTGCATTAAACTCTACCAATTCCCATTCTTAGTAAAACATATTTAAGAAATGAAATATAATTTATAAAATCTTAGAGTTGGGAAGAAGATTGAGTTGAAGGCAGGGGGAAGTTCTGAAATCCAAACTTGCATAACTGACATTTTGTTACTCATACTGCTTTAAATAAGGAGGATGGAATTAAGGTACACTACTAACCACTTCAGTGCTTCACATGCTACCATGAAAATAAATTGCTAGATCTATTTTTTAAGTTATGCATTCTATAATTAAAAATCAACTAATGCTTCTTTGTTGTTGCTCACTATTGTGGTACCTGGTTAAGTTCATCACACATTAGGAAATATATACCAAAAATGTAACTGAGACATTTAAAAAATTTAATAATTTTCCATGGAGTACATATCCTAGTAGGAATATAAACTTGGATTTATATCACATCCTTGTCTTCCACTGCAATACTCAACAGTGGTTCTTCCCTTTTGCTCCAAAGGGACCCAAGATTAATTGGGACTTCCAGATCCAGTGTCCATTGCTAGTCAGACTTCAGGGCATCTCATGTCTCTACTGTTATCTCTGCTGCTTATCAGATCCCTTGTTCCAACTGGCTGCCTGGATTCATACTTCCCTAAATCCCCTTCCCATTAGACTCCAAAGCTCTAAATTGAAATTCAGTATCTTGCCAAGGACTTACATCAATCCCCCTCCTGTGATAGGATTCTGCAGTTGTGCTTTCCACATTCACTTTGTAGGGAATCTTGCTGGACAAGGATAGCTACCCTTGAACTCTATCTGCCACGTGTTGGAATCACAGTATTAAACAACATCATCTGTCCTTGAGGCTGCAACTGTAAATGTTGATAACTCAGTCAATACCAACTGCTTCTGACAGTATCCTAAAGGCCCCTTTTGGTAATGGACATTTATTGCCCAGTCAGTTTTACCCATAGCAACTCTCCAGGCTTCCTCCCCAACACCAAAAACTCAGCAGTTTTTTATGCCCAGTAAAAACCTGACCTTGAGTAATTACCGTAGTGAAACACACACTACAAGTTGCTTCCTCATGAATACATAGATACCTGAAACTTCAGGCACTAGATACTTAAGATGTTATGAAAAATAGCTTTTTTTAAAAAGATAATTTCTCAAATAAAACCTCAATGCATGTGTAATTATAAATATATATGTACTCTGATTTAAAATTCTGGTTTATCAACTAAAGTTTAGAACTTTCCATAAAAGTTCCACAATTACAAGGAAAATTCCATTGAGACCAAATTCCTTGATTTTCCTTTACAGTTCTCTTTTTAAGATTGAAGGGAAGTTCTTAAGTATGGCTTTCTGGAGTTTGTTGAGCATTATATTATTTCCTTTTTCAGAGGATAGTGCCCTTTGAAGCAAGACATGCAAATATGTCAATAGGCCTCAGCTATAGCAAGAGTTTCTATCATTATTAAAAATATATTTATTAATCATAGACTTAGGAAAGAAATATATAACATTGTAGTGTGATACACTAGGTATTTTTAAATTAAGACAAACTGGAGTGCAGTGTGATTTACATGAAAAACTCTAGTCTTGCTCAAACTCTGTTAGTCTTTGTACTTATTAATGATGCCACCGGTGATGGCTTCCATGAGGTCAGTGGCTAGAAAATACTAATCTGCACATTCTTCTCCCTAAGGAAGTACTCTCATTTCTACTTTGCATAATAAATATTTTCCCATACTCACACCTACTCACTGGCTTTTTATGTAAGAGAATCTATTGCTTTCACAGCTGTCACTCTTTGCAACTCCTCTTGAAGTTAACAGCTGGCTCTGAAATTTTGTTCAAAAACAGCCCCCTTCCTTCACACCTTTCTATCCTGATTGCTGTAGCTCAGGCTAATTTTTCTTATTTTTGTGAGTTCCCAGATGTCTACTGGCCCTACTACAAGGTGGAAAAGCACTTCCCATGAATTAAATGTTAAATTTCAATTGTTTCTTTGTGTGTGTGTGCAGTATTTGCATGATGCTTCCATTTTGTGGGATTTTTCTGTTGCCATCTACTGTCCACACTTCTTAAATCTAGTACACTGATTGAATTAATAAATGCTTATTCAGGTTGCTATATTCCAGAAATTGGGCAAGGTCCTTTGATATACTCTATTCTACTGTGGTGAGCAGGTAGCTATAGCACTGGGCAACAGGCAGTATTCTCAGTTTTCCTTTTGGATGGCATCATGCTATTTAACATCCATGGGAATTGTACCAGCTTGCAGGTGAATTAATCTATAAGGCAAATAGAGTACTTTCATCATGACACATTTCTTATACAAGAACAAAAGCATTGTGCTGACAATGCTGTATGAACTTTCAGCTGTGTTTAGAACTTCATGATATTTTACTCATATTTTATCTATTGCGTGCTGAAAAGACAGCTTTTTCAGGGATTCCTCTTTTGTTATTTAGGGGAAATTATGTTCCGCCCACATGATGGTTTAAAATAATTAAATTACCATATTTAATAAGTATGTCATTATTTAACACATTTCTTGAACAGTGTGAACAGCAGCGTCAGGTCTTGTGCAATGATTGACAACACTGCAGCAAAGTAAATACGTAGAGAAGCATCTAGATGTAACTACTAGTATCATTTACAGAAATTTTATTAAAGCTGTAAGTGAGGTTAACAAGGCAAACTGAATAATACAGAACCAAGCATGCAATTACACATTATACTACTAAATAAGATTGTCACAGAACATCACATTTGTAAAGGCTCAGAGTTCAGCTAGTTCAGGTTCTGTAACTCAGGTCTGCAGCTTGTTGGAGATCTATGGTGGACTTTTTATTAGTATGATATAGAAATAAGAAAAAATGAGGACATATATGTAGTTGCTTTTTAAAGTGTGAAAACAGTAATTCTTTAATAAAATGCTGATGCAAGCGGGCATTAGTTATGGTGGTGGTTGTTTAAATGGTTGTTGAGTCTATGTCCACTTTTCCATTTTTTAAAATTACACAGGTATATGAAACCCCAAAGCCTGGCAACACCGAATGACAATACACCTCCACTGTTAATTCTTAATTTTTCACTTTGTTTTTCACAGAAGAGAAACAACTTCCACAGTCTCTAGTCTCTAGACATTTCTTCAGTAACTTGAATGAATCAGCAACATGAACTGAAAACTTTGGATTCCACCTTTGCTTCCACTGGGAGGCATGTTAAGTGAAACGCTTTGGAAATGTAGACTGGCCTTTGTCAGAAGTGAGTTACTATGTAGTCATTAGTAAGTAGGCATAAAACCAAAGAAGCGTTCAGTTCAGAAAGAAGAAAAAACAGTCCACGGGAGGAAATGAATCACCATAGTACCCATGCACATTGATCCAACTTTCATGAATTTCATGAGATTCAATGCCAGAAGCTGGAAAATATTAACAATATAATCACTGAAGCTATTTGAAGTTGGACTGTTGTCCTGAATTGTGGGTTCTCAATGGCAAATACAATGATAAAAATAAATTTGTAGAGTTTTAGATTTAGACTATTTACTAAATTTAAATTTTGCAAACACTTACTAAAATGTAAGACAAAAGAATGACTAGAAATCGGCATCAGTAAAGATGGAACAACTTAGTACATGTTCCTGGTGAGGTCTCTCTCTCCTAAGCTTTCCTAGTCCAACTAGGGAACTGTCCACAGCCAGACTGAGGGGATGCCCAAAGATTTCTGTGCTCCCATGACACTACTTCTCTCTGCCTCCTCCCCATGGCCCCTGGAGTCTCCCTGTTCCCCATGCCACACACTTTCTATGATTTGCTTATTCCAAAGAAGGAGGCATTAATTAAGGTTGTTGGCCTTCATCCCTAATTAATCATCAGGACTAGATACATCCCACCTTACAGCTTTTTTACTGTAGTCACAATCAGAAGTCTATAGCTCCTATGCCATCTTTTTTTCTCCAGGACAACTTTCTTCACATCTCTTTGGATATCTTCTAATCTCACCTTATCTCCCAGTATTCAATAAGTCCTAGCCCATTCCTCTATCATCAGAGAAATCCTTTATTTTCTAACCTCTTTCCTGAATGCTCCTGTATTAGTTGGTTATCACACTGCTAATAAAGACATACCAGAGACTGGCTAATTTGTAAAGGAAAGAGGTTTAATTGACTCACAGTTACCTATGACTAGGGAGGCCTTACAGTCATGGTTGAAGGCAAATGAGGAGCATCTTACATGGGTGGAGGCAAGAGAGCTTGTTGGCGAATTCTCCTTTATAAAACCATCCCAGGGCCAGGCGCAGTGGGTCACGCCTGTAATCCCAGCACTTTGGGAGGCCGAGGCGGGTGGATCATGAGGTCAAGAGATTGAGACCATCCTGGTCAACATAGTGAAACCCCGTCTCTACTAAAAATACAAAAAATTAGCTGGGCATGGTGGTGTATGCCTGTAATCCCAGCTACTTGGGAGGCTGAGGCAGGAGAATTGCCTGAACCCAGGAGGCAGAGGCTGCGGTGAGCCAAGATCACACCATTGCACTCCAGCCTGGGTAACAGCAGCTAAACTCCGTCTCAAAAAACAAACAAACAAACAAACAAACAAACCCCATCACATATCATAAGACTTATTCACAATCACGAGAATTGCCTGCAAAAACCTCACCCTTATGATTCAATTATCACCACCTGGCACCGCCCATGACATATGGGGGTTATCATAATTAAAGGTGAGATTTGAGTGGGGACACAGCCAAACCATATCAGTTCCCATACATTCTTGCTCTGGCTGAAATGGTTCTCTTTTGAGAACATGTGGGCCCAGACTTTTGTAACTATTCAACTTGTATCATTCATATCATTATTAATAAATGTATTTTATTATTTTATATATTTCTTGAACATTTATATATTTCTTGTAAAATGGCGTTGCGTTTTTCATACATATAATTTTGTTTTCAAAACTAAACTTTTTATAGAGGTAATTTCATGGTGTTTTGAGACAGAAAAAGGGTTAAACTTTTACAGTGTTTTTAAAGTCCCATTTTTATGTCTTACTGCATGGTCTACATTGTACAACCCATAAAAATGTTAATTTCATTGAATCCAGCAAAGATTCCTAAGGTGGCATAACAGGTTCTCAGGTCAATTATAAATGCAGAAGAGAATCAGAGGATCTGTGCAAGATGAAGACCCTATCTTCAAGGAGCTATTGAAAATGCTTAATATGTTAAACATACACAATGACCATAATAAAATCTCAGACTCTTGATTGTCCAGCACATCATGTCTGGTTTAGAGAAGCAGTCTTTATAGAGCGTAGTTTTAAGGATGTGAAGTCTACTTTTTATTCTGGATAGTTCATGTTTTGCTAAAACAATCTAGATTTTTCCCATGGATTTAACTAGACTGGTCAAAGGGTAATCTTGGGCCATATATTTTTTACTTCCCACAGTTCTTCTATTTAGTCATATGCTTTGGTGCTACACCTTAAATACTGTTGAAGATGATACTAGATAATGTTTTATGGACTATGATAATGCGTACATTGAAGAAATGTTAATAAGGTCACGGTTCATCCACTGTATGAGTCTGTTATGTAAATTCCCCAATAGGGTGATGTTCCAAAATAAACTTTTCTTTCCATGGAGATTCAGTGTATTTTCTGTGTTTCATACAATTAAAATAATATAAATGATATGCTTCTTTTTTATTGTGGACAAGAGGAAGCCCAGAAATAAATGTTAATATCAACTATTAGGAGCTACATAGACTCTTATGGCTTGCATGTTTGAGTTCTATTCTTTCCTTTTCTCAATTTTAATATTTTTGGTTGTTGAATTTTTAAAAATCCCTTTTATTATATAATCTCTGTCAAATTATTTTTGTAATAAAGGGAGAAATTAAGTAAGTGAAAATATAGGCATTAGATATTCCATATTTTGGACATCCTCAATTTTATGTAATATTATTTTCAGTGAAGGTGATTTATTAAATGAAAAGTTTAAAGAGATTTAATATTAATATTCAAGAGTTCATACAAATGAATTATTCAGAAATCAGAGTAATGTTTTCCAGATTTGTCACTTGGTTTAGTATTTATTGTGTTTATATATGTTTTGTTAATTAAAAGACTATATTGATAAGTGGTCTTAAAAGCATATAGCATAAACTAATTTTACCAGTCAAAATTTTTACAAAATTTTGTAGAAATTTAAGTAGAAAAAAATCTTTTTGAAGAAGATATAAAATAGATACAACATTTTTTAGTGTTTATACATTGCAATTGAAAAAGTATAAAGACAACACATTCCAATTCATGGACTTCTTTAACAGAATTCCTAAATCACTTTAGTCAAAGCTTTATATCTTTAAACACCCTACCCTAAAAGGAAAATATATGGTCATACAGACAATGATACAATTACTGTTGGTAACTTACAAGTCAAGATCAACGTAGCAAACAACATAACTGCCTCCATGGGCCAAAAGAACAGTAGCTAGGTTAACAGACATGGAATCCCAAGCATAATGACCTTAGTAATCATACTGAACTGGCCTGCCTGGAACCTTTGATTACTGACACTTTATTAGATTACTTGAAAGAAACTGGGAAATATAGATTGCACCTAATTTTCTAAATTAAGAAGTCAGTCAACCACCATTACCCCTATAGCTCAGAAGATTTCCAGTAGACATCTGAGAGTACTTTTTTTGTTTTCAGTTTAAGAAACTAGAATCTAGAATTCAATTTAGAATCCAAATTTTGAATTCAAAATGCAAATTTGTCTTCCTTGGACAAACATCTTCATATTCATTGCCAACTTTTTTTTTTTGAATGGAATCCTAGAAGTAAAATTTCACTAATTCTACCAACCTTTCCTCTAAAATACTTTTCCCAAGAAAACTTACATTAAGAGATCGGTGTGCTGTCTTATTCCTGGACGATCAATGCATATTCTTGTTCATTTTAAATATTTTTCCAATCTGATTTTTGCACAGTGATAGTGCATTGTTTTACATTGCATTTACTGTGACATTTAACATATTTTCATTATTGGCTATTTGTATATCCTTTTAATAAAATTTCTCTTTTGTTCTGTTGAACTATTTTTCTCTGAATGTGGCATTTGTTTTACTATTCTTTAGTGTCCCTTGTGTTGAGAAAAATTTTAATTTATAAGTATGCAAATTGGACAAAATTTTCCTGTGAATTCTGCATTTGCTGTTTGTTCTTAGAAACATCATTCCTAGATGTACACATGCATTTATATACAGTACACATACAATTATATGTCATTTTATGCTGCTTAAATTGATTTATGTTTAGGTCTTTAGACCATGTGAAATTCATTTTCACATAAGGCAAATATTGTTTAAATGATACTAAAGAACAAGTATGGGATATTTACCATACATCGGGCATTGAACTAATTATTTTTAATGGATTACCAAATTTAGCCTTTCCAATATTAATACTAGATTCTTTTATTTTCTTACTATCTTCATATGAGTAAATTAAAACAAACAGGTCATTAACTTTCCTAGGGTCAAAAAACTCCACAAGAAAACTGATTTGAACTCAAGCAAATTGACTGCATAGGGATTCTACTGGTCAGAATACACTCCATTTTGAATATTTAAGGACTCACTAGGTAAAAGTTGCTCTTAGTTCTCACAGTATTTTACTAGGATAAAGGATCAATTTTCATTTTTAAGAAATCTTCTCTGATTGCATCGTCTTTGTTCTAATCCCACAGCAATTTAGACAGATGGAATTTTGGACTCAAGACATATATGAAATATTGGTTCCCAAACTGGATTGCTGCACCCTAAACCCACAGTGTGTTTCCGTAGGTCTGGGTTGTGGCCTGAGAATTTGCGCAAATAATTTGATATTTAGATTAGCAAAACTGCTTTGTTTTTGTTAGCACTTGCCTGATATTATTTTGTCTCTTCCTTTGTTTTCAACTTTTATTTACCATTTTGCTGAGCATAGCTCTTATTAAACAGCAGCTACTTAATCAGACTGAGAAATTCAGATTATTTGATGTATTCAAGTGTATCGGGAATGTTGACAATCTGAATTTATTTCTCACATTTATTTTGAAAATTTTTTTTTTCTTTGTAGTCAATTTTGAAATTTATTATACTTTCATTTTGCTTCATTTTGCCTTTTCCTATCATTTTGAAAACTATCTTTGTTTTTTCCCTCTAATGATTTTAAAGTTATACATAATATTTGTAATATTCTAATAAGTGCTCATAAATTTATAACATACATTTTCAAGTGTATAATCATTCATGAAAGTCTAATCTACCTCTCTCTCCTTCTCCCTATTAAAGCATTAGCACACATTTCCTCCATTTCCCCATCTGTCCCCTTTACTAGATCTCAACTATGTGCTAAAGTCATCTGAAATTATAATTCCAGGTTATCGTTAATTTTACTACAGACCTATCTTCTGTGTTTTGTACTATTGCCATTCCTTCATATTTTGCTGCATTTATCACATTTCAGGTGTCAACAATTTCAGAATTTAAATGCATTGAGGTAAATTTCTGAGAATTACAACTTTCTTTGTAGAGAATATGGGATTGTAAATGTGCTTCTTACTTTTTTGCTTTTTAAAACATGGTACTTATATTTTTAATCAGCATTGTATTCCAATGTGCTAATATAATACAATTTTCTTAATTATTTTCCTTTGTAAAAATGCTGTTGAGTCAAGCTTGTGTGTCTTTTCTTGTCATATTCATATTATTTTCAACACTGAAAGTTTTCTCTCTGTAGATTGTTATGCTTTCTATGGCAGCAAGAAAGAGTAAGACACTTGATAGAAAATTAAAAATAGACTCCATTGCCTTAAGAATAGATTAGCTACTCATATTTTGAGTTAAGAGTAACTTTAATAGGATGTGAAAATTTACCTAAGCCCTTTAACTGAAGGAGTTTAACAACCAGCATTTCAAAAATTAAAAAGGACACAGTTTTGCCCTAATAGTCATGGGGATTTAGACAGGTATAGCTACAAATAGCAAGTTGTTCTGATATTTCACAGAACGGAGTTTGACTTCAAGAGAGCAAAGTAAAAAATATCTTTTATTGTCTATGAATTTTTGTTTTCATTTTTCCATGTCATGCTGCTAGTACAAAAGCAGCTGGCTGACTTATATTATCTCTGTGCCTGAAACTCAACAAAGATATCTGTATCCTCTTTCTTCCCTCTCTTCCCATATTATTTGCTATTTAACAAAGGAGAACATTTTTGCTCTGATATATTTGGCCACTTTTTCATAAGTATTAGGAATATTATTGTTGTAGAATATAGAAAAGGGTAATTTGGTATATGGGTTTTTATTTATTTAACACATGGGTAGTGCATATTTCTCATGTGCAACTTAAAAAGAAAGCCAAATTAGATGCAAATTAGATAACAGCTATACTTCATTATGATAGAAAAGTGAATTGTTTTTCTAATTATGAGAAAACATACAGAGGATGTGTTTATATTATACTAAACAAATATCACACTGACAGAAAAATAACTCAATAGGACAAAAGAGAGATTTATGAAAGGAAAATGCAAATGGCCAATATAAAAACATGATAAATGTCAGCAGAAATGCAATTTAAAACAATGAGCCATCACTTTTCCCAGATCGGACTGGGAAAGCATTTAAAAGAATCAATAACATGTTTTGATTGTCTAGGAATGAGAACCTAGTACATTCATTCATCTCTTAATAAAAGTTTACTTGAAACACCATTTAGTGGAAAGGCTCGTAGTACCAGATAAATTCCACTTCCAGTAATCCACAAGAAAAAAGAAAAAAAATTGGCAATGAGCAGAAAGATGTTTGCCCCAAAAAGACAAATTCACGTTTAGTTTGTTTGAATAATTAGAATCAAATGATATATCAATCAATAGGGAATTATTTTACAAATTACAAGCATCTATTCATAATTTATTAGGTAACCATTTAAAATGAGAAAGGTCCCTATATTGAAGTATATAAAAATTGTCAGAATAAATTAAAGAAATGAAAAAATGTATTTCACATCTTATTTTATGTTAGAAAATTATGTATATGTGTGTATTTATAAGTTCTTAGAAGTGGAAAGAAGCAGAGATAAACTTATTTTTCAGGAAGAGAGAAATTGTCAAAAGAATAAAGAAAGATAATTTTACTCTCTAAAGTTCTGTACTTTAAATCTTTATCATGATAACACATTAATGTGCTACTTTTCCAACTAAAACACTGAATTCTGGTATTTAGGGGGCAGAGGTAAAAAATACTTGATGTCTCTACAACCATCTGATCTTTGATAAACATGACAAAAACAAGCAATGGGTAAAGGATTCTCTATTTAATAAATGATGTTGGGGAAACCGGTTAGCCATATGCAGAAAACTGAAACTGGACCTCTTCCTTACACCTTATACAAAACTTAACTCAAGATGGATTAAAGACTTAAATGTGAATCCTAAAACTATACAAACCCTAGAAGAAAACCTAGGCAATAGCACTCAAGACATAGGCATCAGCAAAGACATCATGACTAAAACACCAAAAGCAATTGCAACAAAAGCAAAATTTGACAAATGGGATCTACTTAAACTAAAGAGCTTCTGTACAGCAAAATAA